GGCATAGCATCTACTAAAATATATTCATGATAGGGGCACCTGGTGGCTCAGTTGGTGAAGCATCCTACTCCTGATCAGCTCAGGTCTTTTTTTTTTTTTTTTTAAGATTTTATTTATTTATTCATGAGGGACACAGAGAGAGAGGCAGAGACACAGGCAGAGGGAGAAGCAGGCTCCCTCTGGGGAGCCCGAGGCAGGACTCGATCTCAGGACCCCGGCCTGAGCCAAAGGTGGACACTCAACCACTGAGCCACCCAGGCGTCCCTCAGGTAAGGTCTTGACCTCAGGGTCATGAGTTTAAGCCCCGAGTTGGGCTCCATGCTGATGGAGCCTACTTTAAAGAAGAATAATAATAAAATAAAATTTAAATTAAATTAAATTAATTCATGATAGCTCTAAGTTACAAGCAACCTAAACGTCCGTGGCTAGGTGAACGGCTAAATCCACTGCGGTATACTCACACAACAGAATATACTTGGTCATAAAAATGAATGAACTGCAGAGACGCCTGGGTGGCTCAGTGGTTGAGTGTCTGTCTGCCTTTGGCTCAGGGTGTGATCCCCATTCCAGGGATTGAGTCCTGCATCGGGCTCCCTTTGGGAGCCTGCTTCTCCCTCTACCTGGGTCTCTGCCTCTCTCTCTGTATCTCTCATGGATAAATAAAATCTTTTAAAAAAATGAATGAATGAACTGCTGATACACACAAAAACATAAACAAACCTCATAGACACTGTGTTGAGCAAAAGAGCCAGACAGTAAGAGCATAAATACTGTACGATTTGAGTGACGACACAAAACTACTCCATTGTGATAAAAATTAAAATGGTGGCAAGATTCCACTCTACACCTACCAGAAAGGTTGAATATAGTCTTTTTTTTTTAAGATTTTATTTATTTATTCATGAGAGACACACAGAGAGAGGCACAGAGAGAGGCTCACAGGGAGCCGAACGAGGGACTCCATCCCAGATCCCAGGATCACGTCCTGAGCCGAAGGCAGACACTCAACCTCTGAGCCACCTAGGTGTCCCGATACTGTTATATTCTGATAATATGGACTGACGGTAAGGATGCAGAGCAACTCATACATTGCTGGTGCAAAATGTTACATAAACACACATATGTAACCAGAACACATAAAACTGGTAAAATGTGAATAAGCCTGGTGTACTACACTGGTCCCGATTACCTGGTTCTGCAGTTGTACTCCAGGTGTGCAAGATGTTAGCCCTGGTGCAGGCCAGGTGAAGGATACACAGTACCTCCTTTTACACCTGTTTCCACAAAATTTTTAAATTTTTTTTTTTTTTTTTTTTTTTATGATAGTCACAGAGAGAGAGAGAGAGAGGCAGAGACACAGGCAGAGGGAGAAGCAGGCTCCATGCACCGGGAGCCCGATGTGGGACTCGATCCCGGGTCTCCAGGATCACGCCCTGGGCCAAAGGCAGGTGCCAAACCGCTGCGCCACCCAGGGATCCCAAAATTTTTTAAAGTTTTAAAAAAATAAATCATTTGAGGTCCTGATGGGGTGCGGGGTCCATGGCTATATATTGAGTTTGTGAAAATTCACAGAGCTAAACACTTAAGCTATGCTCCTCTTCCCGGTATGCACACTAAGTAATACTTCAATAAAGGTTTTGTTGAATGGCATCTCCGTCATGTCTCCCAGACCCCTACCCCTTCACAAAACACGAGGTCCAAGCTTCTTAGCAGCTTGGGGTCCCATACCACCCCATTCCCACATTGTCCTTTATTCCTCCTCCCAGGCCAGCAAGCACTAAGCCTGCAGGACACGATGTCCTTCCAGACCGCCAGGCCTGGCCCCAGGTGTGTGGCCACCTGGACCGGAGCCACGGTACATGTGGCCGCTGACCCTGGACCCTGTCACTACCTCCACGTGTGGCTGCAGATCCCAGACCCCGTCACTGCCCCTCACATGGCGCTGGCCCTGGACGCTGTCACTACTGCTCATGTGGCCGCTGACCCTGGACCCTGTCACTGCCCCTCACAGGGCCGCTGACCAAGGAGACCCCATCAATGCCCCTCACGGGGCTGCTGACCCCTGACCCCGTCACTGCCCTTCACGTGGCTCTGACCCTGGACCCCGTCACTGCCCCTCATGTGGCTCTGACCCTGGACCCCGTTTCTACCCCTCATGTGGCTCTGACCCTGGACCCGTCACTGCCCCTCACGTGGCTCTGACCCTGGACCCCGTCACTGCCCCTCACAGGGCCGCTGACCCTGGACCCCGTCACTGCCCTTCACGTGGCGCTGACCCTGCACCCTGTCACTGCCCTTCACGTGGCGCTGACCCTGGACCCCGTCACTGCCCCTCACGTGGCACTGATCCCGGACCCCGTCACTGCCCCTCACGTGGCGCTGATCCCGGACCCCGTCACTGCCCCTCACGTGGCGCTGATCCCGGACCCCGCACTGCCCCTCACGTGGCACTGACCCCGGACCCCGTCACTGCCCCACACGTGGCTCTGACCCTGGACCCTGTCACTGCCCCTCACGGGCCGCTGACCCTGCACCCTGTCACTGCCCCTCACATGGCGCTGACCCCGGACCCCGTCACTGCCCCTCACGTGGCGCTGACCCCGGACCCCGTCACTGCCCCACACGTGGCTCTGACCCTGGACCCCGTCACTGCCCCTCACAGGGCCGCTGACCCCGGATCCTGTCACTGCCCTCACGGGGCTCTGACCCTGGACCCCGTCACTGCCCCTCACGGGCCGGTGACCCTGGATGCTGTCACTACTGCTCATGTGGCCGCTGACCCTGGACCCTGTCACTGCCCCTCACAGGGCTGCTGACCAAGGAGACCCCATCACTGCCACTCACGTGGTGCTGACCCAGACCCATCACTGCCCCTCACAGGGCCGCTAACCCCGGACCCCGTCACTGACCCTTACGTGGCGCTGACCCTGGACCTCGTCACTGCCCCACACGTGGCTCTGACCCTAGACCCCGTCACTGCCCCTCACGTGGCGCTGACCCCGGACCCGTCACTGCCCCTCACGTGGCGCTGACCCCGGACCCCGTCACTGCCCCTCACAGGGCCGCTGACCCCGGACCCTGTCACTGCCCCTCACGGGCTCTGACCCTGGACCCCGTCACTGCCCCTCACGGGCCGCTGACCCTGGACGCTGTCACTACTGCTCATGTGGCCACTGACCCTGGACCCTGTCACTGCCCCTCACAGGGCCGCTGACCAAGGAGACCCCATCACTGCCACTCACGTGGTGCTGACCCCAGACCCCATCACTGCCCCTCACAGGGCCGCTGACCCCGGACCCCGTCACTGACCCTTACGTGGCGCTGACCCTGGACCTCGTCACAGCCCCACACGTGGCTCTGACCCTGGACCCCGTCACTGCCCCTCACGTGGCGCTGACCCCGGACCCCATCACTGCCCCTCACGTGGCGCTGATCCCGGACCCCGTCACTGCCCCTCACGTGGCGCTGATCCCGGACCCCGTCACTGCCCCTCACGTGGCGCTGACCCCGGACCCCGTCACTGCCCCACACGTGGCTCTGACCCTGGACCCCGTCACTGCCCCTCACAGGGCCGCTGACCCCGGACCCTGTCACTGCCCCTCACGGGGCTCTGACCCTGGACCCTGTCACTGCCCCTCACGGGCCGCTGACCCTGGACGCTGTCACTACTGCTCATGTGGCCGCTGACCCTGGACCCTGTCACTGCCCCTCACAGGGCCGCTGACCAAGGAGACCCCATCACTGCCACTCACGTGGTGCTGACCCCAGACCCCATCACTGCCCCTCACAGGGCCGCTGACCCCGGACCCCGTCACTGACCCTTACGTGGCGCTGACCCTGGACCTCGTCACAGCCCCACACGTGGCTCTGACCCTGGACCCCGTCACTGCCCCTCACGTGGCGCTGACCCCGGACCCCATCACTGCCCCTCACGTGGCGCTGATCCCGGACCCCGTCACTGCCCCTCACGTGGCGCTGATCCCGGACCCCGTCACTGCCCCTCACGTGGCGCTGACCCCGGACCCCGTCACTGCCCCACACGTGGCTCTGACCCTGGACCCCGTCACTGCCCCACACGTGGCTCTGACCCTGGACCCCGTCACTGCCCCACACGTGGCTCTGACCCTGGACCCTGTCACTGCCCCTCACGGGCCGCTGACCCTGCACCCCGTCACTGCCCCTCACGTGGTGCTGACCCTGGACCCCATCACTGCCCCTCACGTGGCGCTGACCCCGGACCCGTCACTGCCCCACACGTGGCTCTGACCCTGGACCCTGTCACTGCCCCTCACGTGGCTCTGACCCTGGACCCCGTCACTGCCCCTCACAGGGCCGCTGACCCCGGACCCTGTCACTGCCCCTCACGGGGCTCTGACCCTGGACCCCGTCACTGCCCCTCACGGGCCGCTGACCCTGGACGCTGTCACTACTGCTCATGTGGCCACTGACCCTGGACCCTGTCACTGCCCCACACGTGGCGCTGACCCCGGACCCCGTCACTGCCCCTCACGTGGTGCTGACCCTGGACCCCGTCACTACCCCTCATGCGGCTCTGACCCTGGACCCCGTCACTGCCCCTCACGTGGCGCTGACCCTGAACCCCATCACTGCCCCTCACAGGGCCGGTGACCCCGGGCCCTGTCACTGACCCTCACGTGGCACTGACCCTGGACCCTGTCACTGCCCCTCACGTGGCCGCTGACCCTGAACCCCATCACTGCCCCTCACAGGGCCGGTGACCCCGGGCCCTGTCACTGACCCTCACGTGGCACTGACCCTGGACCCTGTCACTGCCCCTCACAGGGCCGCTAACCCCGGACCTGTCACTGCCCCTCACAGGGCCGCTAACCCCGGACCTGTCACTGCCCCATACGTGGCTCTGACCCTGGATGCCGTCACTGCCCCTCACGTGGTGCTGACCCCGGACCCCATCACTGCCCCTCACAGGGCCGCTAACCCCGGACCCCGTCACTGACCCTTACGTGGCGCTGACCCTGGACCTCGTCACTGCCCCACACGTGGCTCTGACCCTGGACCCCGTCACTACCCCTCACGCGGCTCTGACCCTGGACCCCGTCACTGCCCCTCACGTGGCCGCAGATCCTGGACGCCGTCACTGCCCCTCACGTGGCGCTGACTCTGGACCCCGTCACTGCCCCTCACGTGGCCGCTGACCCTGTCACCACCCTAGGTGCAGGTGCTGGCCCTGGAGCCGCGCCTGTGCCCACATAGGCCTGGCAAAGGGCAGACAAGGTTCCCAAACATGGCGAGAAAAACGGGGATTCCGTGCGTTCCTTACATCCATGGCGATGCTGAAACGACAGTGTTGCGGATACTGTGGCTTAAAAGTGAAACGCGTGAGTAGAAGTAACGTCACCTGTTCTTTCCGCCGCAGCCTGCAGACCTTCCCAGACTCCCGCCGAGCGCGCCGGCCACAGCACCCCGCCGCAGGGAGAGCCCCGGCGCCGGCGGCCGCGGGAGGAAGCGAGCGAGCGCCTCCCCGCGGGGAACACGCGGAAGCCACACGCTCGCGGCGTCTGCGTGCGAGGCGTGCGTGAGAGCGCGCGGGGGCGGGACCGGGATGGGGACAGAGCGGCGGGCCGGCGGTAGTGCGCAAAGCCGCCTGAGGCGCCAAGGAGCATGCGCTCCGGGGGGCGGGGAGGGGGACAGAGTCCGGGAAGAGGCGGGGCCGCGTCCGCGCCCCTGACTTCCGCCGCCTGCGCGGAGACCGCCTACTGTCACCAGGCGCGCCACTAAGGTCGGAGGAGGGGACTTTCCGGCCCCGCCCCCAGGTGTCTCCTCTGGCCTATAGGAACTGAGCAGCCCCGCGGGCACCGGAAGGAGGCGGAGCCTCTGCCCTCGCCGGGCCGGGAGTCCTGGGCCCACAGCGCCCTCTATTGATGCTCTTAGGAGCTGCATGGGACCCGTGCCCCGCGCTGCGCACCTGGCTGGAAACGGTGGATCCTCTGGCCTTGGGAAGGGGGTCCCCGCTCAGATCCGGGCTAAGCACCTCCCCTCAGACACGCATTTTAATATAATTATGTAAATTTAGCTAGATAGACCCCCCCCAAAAGAAAACTTTGTGATACTAAGTTAAAGAAGCTAGCTAGAGTCAAGAGGCTAAACGTTATAGGATTCCATTTATGTGGAAGAGACAAAACTGTAGGAGCAGCTCAGTGTGGCTGTCAGGGTCTGGACTGCAAAGGGACAGTGCAGGACAATGAGATGAGACCACTAATAGCTGGACCGTGATGATGTTTTTTTTTTTTAATTTTTTTTTTATTTATGATAGTCACACACACAAACACAGAGAGAGAGAGAGAGAGAGAGAGAGAGAGAGAGAGAGAGGCAGAGAGGCAGAGACATAGGCAGAGGGAGAAGCAGGCTCAATGCACCGTGAGCCCGACGTGGGATTCGATCCAGGGTCTCCAGGATCGCGCCCTGGGCCAAAGGCAGGCGCCAAACCGCTGCGCCACCCAGGGATCCCCGTGATGATGGTTACACAACTGTATGCATTGGTCAAAGTCACACAACCAAAAAGTAAAAAGTGTGAATTTTGGAGTGATAGGTTTTGAAAGTGGATAGAGGTGGCAGCAACACAACAATGTGACTATACTGGGATCCCTCGGTGGCTCAGTGGTTTAGCGCCTGCCTTCCGCCCAGGGCGTGACCCTGGAGTCTCAGGATGGAGTCCCACGTCCTGTGTCGGGCTCCCTGCATGGAGCCTGCTTCTCCCTCTGCCTTTCTCTCTCTGTGTCGCTCATGAATAAATAGATAAAATCTTATAAGTGTGAATATACTAAGTGCCTCTAAATTTTTCACTTTAAAATACTTAATTTTAAAGTTCTTTTTTTTTTTTTAATTTATGATGGTCACACAGAGAGAGAGAGAGGCAGAGACACAGGCAGAGGGAGAAGCAGGCTCCATGCACCAGGAGCCCGACGTGGGATTCGATCCCGGGTCTCCAGGATCGCGCCCTGGGCCAAAGGCAGGCGCCAAACTGCTGCGCCACCCAGGGATCCCTAATTTTAAAGTTCTAAAAAAAAAAAAAGTTCATGCTCCTGCCTGCCTTTGTCTTCAGCAAGTTCATGTCTGGAGACATCTCACTGTAGTCACAAGCATCACTGTAGGGTGAGACATGAATTGGCCATTCTGCTCTGACCTAGGTGCCCACGTACACAATGAGGAAAAGCAGGAAAAGGCAATCACTTTGGGGGTTTGTGGGTGTGTGTGTGTTAAGATTTACCTATTTGAGGGAGACACAGAGAGAGAGAAAGAGCACATTCATGGGGAGTAGGGGCAGAGAGAAGGAATCCCAAGCAGACTCCCCACTGAGCATAGAGCCCGAACCAGGTTCAGATCTTAGGACTGTGAGATCACAACCTGAACCGAAACCCAGAGTTAAATGCTCAACCAACTGCTCCACCCAGGCTCCCCAAAGGGAAACACTCTGTAAAGCCACATCTGGTCACCGAGGATTCTAAGAGAGTTAAAGGTCCACCTCCCTACCCAGCAACATAAAATGCCCTTATACCACTGACTTTCAACTTCAGATGACAAAACTGATGCTCAGGGGCCTTGTAGATAAATTCCCAGACCCGACCGGTCTCTGTAACACCATGCCAGGAGGTAATACTACTCTCTCTCCTATAGCTGGGGAGACTATGGTTCAGCAAGGTTACACAAGATGAAGAAGTGGCAAAGCCTGGGGACAACTAGGACCCCTCAACATCCCATGTCCTTTCTCTAAGAGATGGGAATCTGTGGCTTGGTGGTTCATTCTCCCCTTGAAGGAGACATTCCTCCCACCCCTGGCGCCATCACCCATCTTTGCACAGTCGAGGGAATAATGCCAGGAGTCTGGGGACCCTGACTGCCCACTGCGCAGGGGGTGGGGGGATGACGACGACATACCATCTTCATGTTCAGCCACACCCGATCCCCTCTGGTGGGCCCCAAGAGCACCCCATACTCTAGTCCAGGAAGCCTTCCCCGGCTCCTCAGGACAGCACACACCCAGGAGAAACAGAATCTAAAAAACAAAGTACAAACTTTATTTTGTTTCTTTATAAAGGCACAGTGGCCTCTTGGTTTTTTCCCCCCACTTTCTTAACAAAATATAATAGCTTCTCCTTGAACACAAAGACCTCAAAATTGTAAAAAAAAAAAAAAAAAAAAAAAAAAAAAAATTAAAAAATTTAAAAATTTAAAAAAAAACAAAAACAGAAACAAAAAAAACAAGAAACAAAAAACTAAAAAGATAAACCAAACCAAAACCAAAAAGAACCAACAACAAACAAAACAAAAAGAGAGAGACAAAGACATTTTTGGGTGGAAGATGGGAAACCCGGAGGGAGAGATGGGGCTGGGTGGCGGCGGGAAGTGGCGAGTCCTCGTGCTGAGCCGAGGAGGGAAGGAGAGTAGGGCAGCAGCAAACCCCAACCGAGAAGCATTGTAGACCCCCGGGGCCCCAGAGAGCTCTGACCCAGCCAGACCCCCAACCCATGTAAGTGCTTAAAGGGGAAAGGAAAAAAAAAAAAAAAAAAGAGGAGGGAAGGAGTCAAAGACTGACGGTCTAGGGCTGGCTCTGGGGAGGCCAGAATACCTTGGGGTTTTGTTTGATTTTTCCCTGTTCTTAAAAATATGTTTAAATGAAAAAAAAAAAAAGAAAGAAAGAAAAAAAGCTTTTTGGCGGAGAGAGGCCAGGCATCTGTGTCAGCTTCCCCCAGCCTCCGGGGCGAGGCCCGGCCCCAGGTGTCCCGGTGCTCCCACGTGCTCCTGCCACCCCAGCCCTCCGGGGCCTCAGGTCAGGTGGCTTCGCCCAAAGGTGGATTTACAGTATTGAAAAAAGAGGTCACAAAAGAGACCCAAATGACGTCGTAATTTTGTAAAAATTCCTCACTCGTTCACCTGCGTTGTTCCCTGTTGCTGCCCCCGGCCCCCTCCGGCCCCAAGAAGGGAGAGGAGGGCTGGGGGGTGGTCAGGGAAGCCCCCCACTCCCTGCTGGCTCCTCCCGGCTCTGGTCCATGGCGTCGCTGTCCGAGGCCTCTGAATCGGAGGCAGTATCAGAGGCATGGGCCTCGGGGCAGCTGCGGCCCGGCTTCACAATGACCGCTCGCCGCTGCTCCTCCTCCTGCTCCTGCCTTTCCTGGGTGCCCTCGATGTGCTGGATCGCCTTGGGGGGGGGGGGACAGGGTGTGATGAGGACAGCCAGGGACACTCGGACAAACACCCCCTCACCCGCACCTCAGAAAGGTCCAGAAGTAAGCCTGGCAAGACAGCAGCCTGCCTGCCCAACGTTCAGACCTTCTCCGCTAAGCTGAACACCTCCTTGGAGATCACAGGGCAAGTCAGCCTGGAGTCACAAGCGTCTCTCATTTATGTATTTCAAAGCACCTGCTCACTTATGCCAGGTCTCTTCTCTGCTATTAACTTTATTATTCAATTTTGCTGGGTTTACGTGCAACCGACGTGGCAGGGATGGATGGGGTTTTTTGTTGTTGTTGTTGTTTAGTTCTTTCTCTGTGATGCTGTTGGTTCTCCCAGGGGTGCCGCCCAAAGCTGGGCACAGCAGAACTTCAGGCCTGACCCTTGAAGCTGATCATATCATTTCTTCCTTCTGTGCAGGAGGCTTAACTGGTCCCTACCCAACCACTGCCAGCTGAAGCCCACCCAGGTCCTGGAGATGGAGCTGAGAGGAAGCTCTGGACCAACCCAAGAGCTGGATGCAGGAACCTGACACCAGGAGGCTCAGGGAGCAAAGAAGCCTCTCGGTAAACCCCATAGAGGGAAGGAACAGGGTCTTCCAGACTATGTTGTCCCTGCCCCCTTCTCTGCCCCAAACCTTCTCAGAGCCACCCCCATCGCAGACACAGAAAGAGAGATGTGGGGACGGACACAAAGGGCCCATTCCCACATGATGCCCCATCCCCAAGTCCAGGTACCTGCACGATGGTGTCCAGGTTTTGCCGGGATGTGGAAACAGAGTTGATGACCGAGGAGGGACCCATGGTGACAACATTGATGTGGTGGGAGGGAGGGGGTGGCGCCGGCACGATCACTGTGGGGTGGTGGGTAGGGGCCGGAGGGGGCAGGAGCTGCAAGGAAGAAGCCCTCAGTCTCTTTTCAAAGGTTCCAGGAGCTGCCCATTCCCTTCTATCCTTCTGTCCCTCACAGAGGGACATCCCTCAAAACCATCTGCTTCGAGAGAGCCGCTGCCAACCACCCCAGCCCTTGAACATCTTCCCTAGGAGGGCTGGCCAATTTGTGCTCCACCCCCTCTTACTTTACAAACGTGGAAAAGGTGCTCCAGAGAGGGGCTTCCAGCCATCTGAGATCCCGGGGCCCCTTCACTGTCCACCAAGCAAGCACTTTAACATCTAATAAATACCTGGGTGGCTCAGAATGCTAAGCAGCTGACTCTTGGTTTGGCTCAGGTCCTGGTCTCAGGGTCATGAGATCAAAGCCCGCATTGGGCTCTGCGTTCAGCAGGGAGTCTGCTTGAGATTCTCTCCCTCCCTATGCTTCTCCCCTGACTAGTGTTGGCTCTTAGTCTCTCTAAAACAAGTAAATGTTTTCTTTAAAGTAAATAAATCATTTTTAAAGATTTTATTTGGGTAGCCCAGGTGGCTCAACGGTTTAGCACCACCTTCAGCCCAGGGTGTGATCCTGGAGACCGGGGATCGAGTCCCACATCGGGCTCCCTGCATGGAGCCTGCTTCTCCCTCTGCCTGTGTCTGTGCCTCTGTGTGTGTGTCTCTCATGATTAAATAAATAAAATCTTTTAAAAAATAAATAAATAAAGATTTTATTTATTTGAGAAGAGAGAAAGTGAGCACAAGCAGGGGGAGGGGCAGAGGGAGAGGGAGAAGCAGACTCCCTGCTGAGCAGGGAGCCTGACATGGGACTGGATCCCAGGACCCCAGGACCATGACCTGAGCCGAAGGCAGTCGCCCAACCAACTGAGTCACCCAGGCGCCCAAAAAGTAAATAAATACTTTAAAAAATTACAGTGGTTATCAAGCGTGTAGACCGTGGGTTTAGACAGCTAAGTCGCTGAGGATCACGAGTGGGCATGTCATGCACCCTTTGTGCGCCTCAATTTTGCCATCAGTAAAATAGGAAGAATATAAGTTCAGGCCTGAAAGGGCCACTACGAGGATTCAATGTGGTAACATATGCAGGTTACCTGGGAACCAGTAACCTGGGACCCTGGGCCTGCCCCGCTGGAGCCCGGGGCACTGACGCTGCGAGTGAGGACCGCTCCCAGGCCACCACTGCTCACCTGGGTCCGCAGGTGCTGCTGTTCGCGCTCCAATTTCTCCTGATGCAGCAGCCTCACCTGCTCCTGCTGCTGCTGAAGCTGCACCTGCTGTGCGATCACCTTGAGCTTTTCCGGATACATGTGGGCCTCCAGCGAGCGCACCTGGGGGGCAGGGCGACAGGTTCAGGGGCAGGGCTCAGAGGGCACCCCACACCTCCCCCTCCCTGGCCCCACCCGGAGCAGGGCCCTCAGGACCGGAGGTCGGCCTCCAGGCTCTAGGCTTCGCAAGAGGCCGTTCACTCCTGCTGCAAACCCTGGCATGGCTGACGCTCGTCCACCCTCGGCGGGAGAGACCAAAGTCCTTAGCCCAGCCTGCCGGGCCAGCCATGACTCCTCCCTCAGGCTGTGCCCCCTCCCACCTCCAGGACCTGCCCGTGCTGTGCCGCTCTGGGCCCGGGCAGATTTTATTTATTTGAGAAGAGAGGTGCTCTTCCGGCACAGAGCAGGTGCTCCCATAAAGAACTACTCACCCCCAGAGCCTTACCTGCTCCTCCAGCATCATGCGCACCGAGCGCTCCTTGTCCAGTTGCTGCCTCAGCTCGATCATCTCCCGGCGCAGGTCCTCCGCCTTCTCGTCCTCCCAGATGTCCGGCGACCCGATGCCCTCGTCCTTGTCCTCTGCCCGCCGCCGCTTGGGGGATGAGCCGCTCAGCTCCTGGGGACCCCAAGGGGCCAGTGAGTGTGCCTCAACAACCCCGAACTACAACCACCACCACGACCAGGGACATCAGAGGACTCCCTCGCAGTCCCCCAGGGTCCCTCTCAGCACTAGGGCCCCATTGTGCCAACCCAACAGATGGCCGAAGTCCAGAAAAGGAGGCACAATGGACCTGCTTTCCAGAAATCACCCAGCTACTTCCAGAGCCCACCCCACCCCACGTCACGGATGGGTAAGCCAAAGCCCAGGCAGGGAGGCAAGTGCCTGAAATAGGTGAGTGGGGAAGATGCAGCCTGAGGGCCACGGCTGAGCCAGGACGCGCTCACGCGGGGAAAGGCAGCCGGAGGGGGCAGGGCACTGCGGCAGCAGGAGGCCCCCACGGGGAGCTACCTGGATGAAGCGCTTGAGCTGTGTGTTCTGCTGCAGGAGCCTGGTCTTCTCCTGCTCCAAGGAGAAGATGTACTCCGCCGTCTGCTGGAGAATGGCTGCCTGAGGGTGGGAGGGACAAGTCAGGGACCCTGGCGGGCAGCGTCTGCCAAAGCTCACTTCCTTCTCCCCACCTGAGCCCGCCACGTCCTCCAGGAAGGCTTCCGTGCCTAGCCCACCTTGCTAAGCTTCTCTCCATCTGTGTGGGGGATGAGGGTCTTGAGGGACTGGAAGCCCGCATTGATGCTCTGCATGCGCCTCCGCTCGTTGCTATTGGCAATCTCCCGCCGAATCCGCCGCTCCTGGTCCCGCTGAGTCTCAGGGGTCAGTGGAATGTTGGCAAGGCTGCAGGTTAAGACAGAGACCTGCTCAGGCTAGGTGCCCTCCGTGCCCTGCCCCGGTGGGACCCTGTCTTTACAATTCACCTCCGGGGGCCGCTAGTGTAACTTTCATCCGTCCTGCGACAGAAGATGCCAGATTTGCCAGGTCCCTACAACCCCAGCAGATCAGGAGGGTGATGGAGTAGTACCTCTGGGGTGTCTGGGTGTCCGTAAGTGTGCAGCTCCAGGTCCTAGCCCCAGTGTCTGGCCAGCAGGTGTGGGTGGGGCCCAGAAGCCTGACCAGCTAGCGAGAATCTCTGTGATTCTGATACAGATGGTCCCAGACAATAATTGCAGACACCTGTCCCTGGGACACCTCTGAGCTCCTGGCTATGCACCTGGACCCCCTCCTGCGGCACCGCAGGCTTGAGGACTAGGAAGACATCGCTCCTCCCTCCCCATCGCCACAGCCACATCTGCAGCCACACACTGGTCTGCAAGCTCCCAGCCTGGCCCCAGACACCCCATGCTAAGACTTCAAAAACGAGACAGGTACCACTTACTCCAAGAAGGGGACACCAGACCAACCACCCCTGGAGACACTTCTCCCCTGAGCCTGCCCACCCCAAGAGGCAGCCCCATCCTGTGCCAAAGGAGCAAGGCTCCCAGCATGCAGTGGGCAATGTTACTGCATATTACGTGACTGCATCTTACAGGAGCAGCAGCCAGTGGGGTGAGAGAGAAGGCAGCCAGTGGAAGGGGGAGAGGCCCAGAGGTATTGGCAGGAGGCAAAGACAGCAGCGGGGCCTGTAGGCCCAACGCCACCGCTCCCGAGGGATGGGCCTGTGTGTGGCCTGGAGGAGGCATTCCCCCTTTCCCGGCCCTCTCCTGCGACTCCCCCCGCCCCTGGCCTGATGGCTTCCAGATGCTGGGCTCCCAGAAGAGGCCACCAGCCCCACCCAAAGCCACAGCCCTGGCGTCTTCCTGAGGGGCCCTCCCGGGGTGACCTGGTCCAGGCCTGGGCCAAGAGAGCTCACACCCCTGGTTCTGGAGAAGTGGGGAAACGGACTATGGGCAGCCTTATTCCATCGATGAGGACCCTGGGCTCAAAAAGGTGCTCAAGCCCCCATGCCTGTCCCCAGGAGGAAAGGCGTTTGCTCAGAAAACCTCGGAGAATGCATCTGCCACAGCTGGAGACAGCCATGGCCTCTCCTGGCCCCCTGGCCCACCCTGTCTGCCCCACTCTGGGCCGGCAGGATCTTGGACTCGCCCTTGCCCTTCCTGGGCCTTGGCCCCCTCTCCTGGGGGAGAGGGTAGTCCGCTGCAGCTGGGGGCCCCCAGGGGGCAGTTTCCTTACAGCATCCTGGAATGTCCATGCTCAAAAGGTGGCCCACGACCCTTTCTTTGCAGAGGAGACTTGGGACTCCGAATGAGAAGGGACAGAGTCTTAGAGTCAGACTACCAGCCATCTGGCTCCTCACCTCGGGGCAGGGGCACCTCACTTCTCCCAGCTTCCCTGCCCCTACACCAGAGGTGATGGGGTGGCGGGACAGAGCAGTGGCGAGGACGCAGGCCCGAGACCTGACACACACAGTGGCTTGCCCGCCCTTTGTGGGGGGTTAGAACCTAATCCAGGCTCCCTGGTCTGGCAGTGCCCTCCAGACCCTCTGTGGTGGGTGGGTGGATTAAAGAGGTGGGAGTGGAGGGAGAAGAAGAAAAAGAGGTAGGGTAGGGAGTCTGGCTGGCTCAGTTAGAAGAGCATATGACTCTTAATCTTGGGATCATGAGTTCAAGCCCCATGTTGGGTGTAGAGCTTACTTTAAACAAAAAGAAAAAAAAAACTGGGGAGAGACGTCCAAAGGAAGCCAAGCCACCAAATGACTGACATCCATCTGGGTGGGAATCCCCATCCTCTCGGGAGATACAGGGAGACACCCCTACACAGTCCCTGGGGCCCTCCTGGAGATGCCCAAATGCCAGACCTGAAAAGAATGGTGAGAGGTCAAAAGGAGCCCCACCTCCACCCTTGGATCACCCTGAGTGTTAGCCGTTCCAGAAGGCCCAACTGGAGGACTCGGCAACAGAGTAAGAAGCTTAAATCAAGGGATGCCTGGGTGGCTCAGTGGTTGAGTGTCTGCCTTTGGCTCCGGGCGTGATCCCAGAGTCCTGGGGTCGAGTTCCGCATCAGGCTTCTCTCAAGGAGCCCGCTTCTCCCTCTGCCTGTGTCTCTGCCTCTCTCTCTCTGTCTCTCATGAGTAAATAAAATCTTTAAAAATATAAATAAATAGGGGGATCCCTGGTGGCTCAGCAGTTTAGCGCCTGCCTTTGGCCCGGGGCACAGTCCTGGAGTCCCAGGATCGAGTCCTGCATCAGGCTCCTGGCATGGAGCCTGCTTCTCCCTCTGCCTGTGTCTCTGTCTCTCTCTCTCTAGGTCTATCATGAATAAATAAAAAAAACCAAAATCTTTAAAATATATATATATATAAATTTTGAGTTCTATGATTAGAATTGTCACACTCTGAGTCCAGCGGCCTTATGATTCCTGTATGGATCAAGGACATAGGCTTGCTCCAAGCCCCAGAGCCTGGCTCTTATCCACAGGACAGAGTAGGCTCTGCACCGCCCCACAGAGCCAGACACCCAGACAGACAGATGACGGTTACCCCTGTAGAAAGACAAAGCATGTGGTGTGCACAGCCATCCTGCTCAACAGGCACCTGCAGATGCCAAAGCTCAGCCCTTCTCCCGCACCTGCTGCTGGTACCCTCTCCTGACAGCTCACAAAGGGCCCCCGCTGCTTCCCAGAGCCCCATATGTGGCCTCAGGAGGTAGTGTCCGTGCTCCTCCCGACAAACAGTAGGACAGGCACAGAAGTGACCCGCTCATGTCCACCGTGAAAGACAGATGGGTCAAGGTGCAGGCAATGTACCTACCTCCTGTACTTTCCAGGTCCCACCCCCAAAGAAACCAGAGTTCAGCTGCACCTCCCCCAGCCAGCCAGTTCATCTGCCCATGAAAATCTCTGCCCTGGGAGACGCTCAGCTCCTCCCTTCTCCTCAGGATGCCCAGGGACTGGAGAGGCCAGAGTGGAGTGAAAGATCCAGGGCCTGCTCATCCTGGCTCTTCCAAATGTGCCATCCATCCTGTCTCCTTCCCCACCAAGTCCATCAACGCCCTGGCTCAGGAACCAGCTGCCAGTTAACCTAATGCAGACTTAAGTCCCAAAAAGCAGGGGCACCTGGGTGGCTCAGTGGTTGAGTGCCTTCAGCTCAGGGCGTGATCCTGGGGTCCTGGGATCAAGTCCCACGTTGGGCTCCCCACAGGGAACCTACTTCTCCCTCTGCCTCTGCCTCTGTCTCTGCCTCTGTGTGTGTGTGTGTGTGTGTCATGAATAAATAAAATCTTTAAAAAAAAAAAAAAAGTCCCAGAAAACAGACTTCACCCCAAAGCTGCAGTTCCTCCTGAGGACTTGGGCTGCCACCAAGACCCTAACAGATAACTCACCTAAACAGCCCTGGAATGTGTGCACTAATCAGAGGTTCTGGCTGGCGGAATGTTAGGGGTCCTGATCGCTGACCAATCAGAGATTCCTATAATTCATGGCTAGTCCAGCTGCTAAACTAGATGACCATAGATCAAGCAGGCTTTTCTGCAAATCCCTGAAAGTTTCTTACATTTTTATCTGAGTTTTGCACACATAAACGTGACTGACAGGAATCGTAAGGCCCTCTGCCCCCTCCACATCAACTCCAGACTCCCAGGTGAGCAGTGAAGGTGGCATGGTCCACTGTCACCCAGTGTCTGTTGCTTCTTTCCCTCCCAGTCTGGCCTCTGACAGCCTGTCTCCTGGAGAAGGGCAACCAACCGGCCAAGAACAGTTTGAGTACCAGCCCTGGGTGCTAAGACTGTCCCCCCAATACCAGAGTACCTCCAGACAGCCCCCTGGGAATAACACCAGCAGACCAATCAGAGGCTCCCTGGTAGGGAGCACCGTCTTCCCAGCCCAAAGGCAAAGTAACCCCCATCCACTGACACCCCCAGGCCTGGCTCCAGCCTCAGATTAGCCACTGACAAGACGCCTGGCTGGCTCAGCGGTTCAAGCATCTGCCTTCGGTTCAGGACGTGATCCTGGAGTTCTGGGATCGAGTCCCACATCAGACTCCCTGCATGGAGCCTGCTTCTCTTCCCTCTGCCTGTGTCTCTGCCTCTCTCTGTGTCTCTCATGAATAAATAAATAAAATCTAAAAAAAAAAAAAAAAAAGATTAGCCACTGAGAACTCTCATTTACAGTGCTCAAAGTCACTCACACACCTGCCGCTCAACATCTACAGGCAGAGGTGGGAAAGCCCACATGGGACTTCTCCTACCCAAGAGGAGGACAGGAGGGAAGCAGTGACCCTCCGCAAGGATGCCCAAGGTGCTCATCCTCTCTGTGCAGCACTGAAGCAGCCCAGAGCCTCCACCCGGCCCCACTGCTTCTATCCAACACGACACTCTGACCAGCCTGCCACCCCTGCCCTCAGTTCCAACAGACCATGCCCAGGCTGTTCACATCAGAAACACCTCTCCCCTGTCCTCCCCTCCCTAGGGCTTCCTCAGCGCCTCAGAGGGGACTCCCTACTCTGTGTTCACTTATAAGCCAGCTCTGCCCCTTGTTATCCCATGGAACTGCACTTCATCTCTCAAAGCCTGTTTACCCACCTGCAAAAGGGGGAATACCGCCTCATTTCATAGGACCATGGTGAAATTCAAAAGACACGGAAGAGGGGGGCGGTGCCCGGTTGGCTCAGCCAGTAGAGCATGAGACTCTTGATCTCGGGGATCATGAATTCAAGCCCCATGTTGGGCACAGAGATGACTTTTTAAAATAAATAATAATAAAATAAAAATGACCCTTAGGTTATAAGAGAGATGGAAGAGAAAAAAAGAGATTAAGAAAAACAGGATGCCTTGTTTTTCCAGAGTTTGCACCCAGGATTCCAGGAGAACCCAAGATCTCTCTTAAAGGGCTGACAAGACCAGGAGAGTCAAGACCTTAGCACCAGGAGATTTTGAGCTGTTGGGACAGGGCCAGTTCTGGTTCCCAGCCCAGAGCCGGTGCCAAATATATACCGCATCAGGGACCCAGCACACACACTCCAAAGCCCCTAATTGTTCCCTAACACCTTCTGAGCACTGGTCTCTTTCCTCCCAAGGACAGGAGGTAAACACTTTAAGATCACAGTGCTCCTGCTTCTAAGAATTTAACAGATACCTGGCGCTTTCCATACACACAGCCTAACCTTCACAGGTGCTCCATTTTACTGAAGTGGCACATGCTGAGACCACACAGGTCCAAAACCACACAGCTGGGGCATGAGCCTCCCTCTGAGGGTGACTCAGGGTGGGGGTGCCCACTGTGCAGTATGGCCCCCTCCAGTAGGTCTGGGAGAGGGATGAGGCAGAGAGTGCTCCTAGTCACTGAGGGATAGAACACGGTCCCAGCCTCAGAAACCAATCCATAAAGCCAGAAGTTCTCACCCAACCCACACACTTGATCCCACCTCACCCCACAGCTTCTGAAAATGAACAAACCCAAAGGTCCCAACTCCACACCCACTGCACAGGCTTCAACTGTCTCATAGATAGGCAGGCTGAGCATGTCCCCATGCCCAAGCCTGGGGCACTTGACCCCTGGAGACTGCTAGACTCCTCTAAAGCAGGGTTTGGGACAGGGACAGTATAACTCCTAGAGTCCTGGGAGGTCAAGAGAGGACTCAACTAAGTCCCAGACCTGGTGGCTAGAGGTCCCCACTGTGCTAAGCCTACCCAGGATCAGGCTCAAACAGTCCTACCCAGCCATTCTCTGAACAAGCAACCAGCCACGAGGGATAGGAGCAGGGCTCTGGGACCAGGGTTCAAGTCCCAGCCCCAACACTTGCTGTAACTAACTCTTCCCTTCTCAAGCCCATGTCCTCACCCCATACAGTACACATAAGGCCGCTTAACTCAGGACGCAGAGTGTAAAAATTCAATGAGAAAAAAAAATCTATCAAAACGAGTCCCTAGAACATACTAAGAGCTCCAGAATTTTTTTTTTCTTATTACTGGGAGGCCCTTCTGGTAGACCTTAAGGAAGGGCCAGCACCCAGGGTGGCCACCCCCCTGGCTGCACATGACTCCGAACTTGAGAACTGTCGAGGTGGGAGCCTGGGGCGGGGTGGGGAGGTGTGTATACGGGAGCAGCCACCGTCCCCGAGCCCGGTTTCTGCAGCCCCTGCTGTCTAGCAGCGCCGGCCACGCCGCCCCGGCTCCTCCTCCCTCAATCCCCGCCCAGCCTGACCCGGGCGGCTGAGCACGTGGCCCCAGTCCTAGGGAGCCATTTCGCTCCAGGAGCAGCGGGGTTCTAAGGGGTCTGCAGGTTCCCAAGTGGGGCACCCAGGGAAGCCCCAGACGCAGCACCGCCGTGTCCCGCGGGCCGAGTTCAGTGCAGACGCTCAGGGACAGGGCCGTCCTCCTCCTGGCCATCCGAGTGGCGGGCACGTGCATTTTAACAAGCGTCCAGGGGAATGGGGATGTGAGTGGTGCGCGCACCCGTCACCCTCTGGTGAAGGATGGATCTGGAGCGACCGAGGCCACGCTTGGGAAGTGGCTCCTGGGAAAGGCGGCGGCCCCGGGGTCACCCACCCACGCACCCACCGGGCGGCGAGGCTGGACGCTTTCGGTTTAGGGCTGGGGGAGGGGTGTGGGCTGGAAAGTTTGCAGCCGAGCCCCGCGGGCGGCGGGCAGCGGCCTCACGAGGCCAGGGGCACTGTCCGGTGCCCCCTCCCCAAAAGGCACCCCCCGCGGGGCCGCCTGGCGCACCGCGCCCTCGGGAGCTGAGCTTTGTGCGAGGAAAGCGTGGCCCGGGCGCGCCTACAATTCCCACAATGCCGCAGGGCGGGGCGCGGGGAACTACAGCTCCCGCGAGGCGGCGCGCCGAGGTCCGCCTACTCCAAGAGGGCTGCAGAGTCACGTCCAGGCCTCGCTAGTAAACAGCGCCCGGGCGCGGGCGGCAAGCGAGCTAGCGGCCGCCAACGTGCCCGGGTCCGCGGCGCCCCCGGCCGGCAGCGCCGGCCTCCCGGGTCCCACCCATCCCCGCGCCCCCACTCGAGCACGCCCCCCGGCCCCGCCGCAGCCCCGCACCCTGCAAACACACCACCCGGCTCCCCGATCCCCCCCCCTCGCCCAGAGCCGCGGCGTGGCTGCATTGTAGCCGCCCGCGCCACGGCCCCACGCGCGGCCCGGGCCCCCCAAGCCCCCACGGAGGGGGGCACCCAGAGACAGCGAAGAAGGAGGGAGAGGAAGGAAGCCGCCGCGGGAGGGGGGAGGAGGAAGCGCGGGGGGGAAAGCCACCAGCACCAAGCATGGCCGGGACTGCTGCAGAACCACGTGGGTCTGTTTGCAATTTACAAACGTCGCGACTCGCCCGCCTGCAGCGGACAAAAGTGAGCGGGGCCGCTCGGGGCCCCCACGTTCCGGGGGAGGAGGGTCCCCCGGCGGCGCAAGCCCGGCGCGCGGGGCTGTAGACGCCCCGGCGGCTAAGAAAGGCGAGCGGGGTTGGCAGCGCGGGCCATGCGTGCGCACACGCGCGCCTGCCCGGGCGGGCTGGCCGGGGGCTGCAATCATGGGAAGGGGGTGGGGGGGAGGAGGAGTACACACCTACAGAGCCCTCCTATCACTTCTTTCTCTGTTTTCCTGAAATGTTGCAAAGAGGGCACCTTCTGAGTGGGCACCATGAAATACTCCATAGCGATCGGCGCCCCTCCTCTGCACGAGCCGGGTCCCGCGGTCCGCCGGAGAATGCAAGATGGAAATCCGAATCAAAGGGCAGCGCCGGACGGAGGTGCAGAAACGGCCGGTCCCAGATGCTGGCGGCGGCGGCGGCGAGGGGAGGGAGGCGGGCGGGAGGGGCGGGAGGGAGGTCTCTCCGGCCTGCCTCCCCGGGCGTGTGTATGTGTGTGTGTGTTTGCAGCTGATCAGATGTCTGTTTCAAGGCGGGAAACAGCTGGTGAAAACTCAGCACTCCCCCGGCCTCCTTCCGCGGAGTAAGGAATTGCATGTAAACAAAGGACTATTTGCAGCGCCCCCCGGGCTGCGCGAGGCCAGGGCGAGAGGGGCGCCGCCCCCGGGGGCCAGTGGCAGCCAGGGTCTGCGGGCCAACCCCCCGGCACGGGGAGCCGGGGGCCGTGGGGCGGCTGGGGGGCGCGGTGTGAATGGAGCGAGCTGCGGCCGAGCTACATGCGCCACTATGGGTGATGAGGTCCATCAGCTGACAGGTTGGCAAGCGTTGCAAAAAAAAAAAAAAAAAAGGCCAGCCACTGCGAGGGAGCCTAGCCCGCGCGTCCGGGGTCCGGCGGGGACCGCCCGGTGCAGGGTCTCCGCGCTCGGCGGCCCCCGGGGACGGCGGGCGCGCAGCTGGGCCCCGCGGAGACGGCGAAGGCGGCCTGGGGTGCTGGTCGAGTTGCAGCTGCATGGAAAGGAGCCGCTCTGGCTCGCTCCTTCCGAGCCCAGGGCCCCCTGGAAACTTGCGTCACAGCCACCTCTTCCCACATGTAACTTGGGGCCGACTTCGGAGGCCAGCCAGCCCCCTCCCTCCCTGGCTGCCCAGTTGGCCGCCCAGCCTGGGCTCCGGAGCCTGGGAATCCCGGAGCCTGGGGGCGGGGAGGGGGGGTGCAGAGCGAAGGGGGCGCGCCGGGCGCCTCAGATCCTGGGGCTGCCTTTAGAAACCTGGGGCCCCGGCGGGGAGTGAAGGCTGGAGGCGGGCCAAGACGGCAGCGGCCCGCAGATTTGGTGGCTGCCGCCGGGTCCCCCTCACTACCCCCCTCCGCGGGGAGGCTGGACAGCAGAGGAGGCCCGAAGCTTCCCATTCATGCCTAAGGCCGTGCGGGACCTGCTCCTCCGCCAGGGTGCGCTCTCTACTACAGTGATGCCCGGGGCGGCGAGGCAAGGACGCTGCGGCCCTCTTCCGTACCCCCTCCCGAGTCCCCTCCCCTGGCTCCTGGAGGGTTGGCCCCAGGCTCAGGAAGACCACGCCTGCCTCGGAATGTCCTCGAGCCTGCCCACCGCCTTTCCCAATCCCCTCCGCCTTCAAGGTTCCGCCCAAATCGCGCCTCCTAATTAAAATATTCCTACTACTAACAAGAGTTACTGATATTAAAAAAAAAAAGTTACTGATATTTTAGGAACGATGATTATTAGATACTGAGAGTACCGTGTAGATTTTTGAACGCGTGTTCTCTCATCTTTAAAGCAACCTGTTGGGCACTTGAAGCACAGATCCCAGTTCACTTAGCATCAAAGTCCTTGGAAAGTCTCACTGTGGGGACAGGAAATGTGCTCAGGAAATTATGACTTATGGGGGGCAACATAGGAAAGAGGGCCATATAACTGTATACACTGAGCAGGATCTATAGGGCCCGAATGGATGCGTGAAGAATGAATGAGAACCGGGAGAAGCGTTTCTACCCCCTGCTCTTCTCTTACAGAACCGACTTGATGGAGCCTGGTTCCCCCTGACCACCATTTCTTGGCTGGTGACCTCACTCCAGCGGCTCACTCCAACCTCTGCTTCTATTACCATATCTCCTTCTTCTCCTATCCCAACCCTTCGACTCTGCCTCTTTTATGATGATCTTGGGCCCACCCAGATAATACAGAATAATTTCCCATCTCAAGATCCTTGCCTTAGCTGTATCTTCAAAGCCCCTTTTGCCACATAAGGCAATTTAGTGACAGGTTCCACAGATTAGGAGGTGAACATTTTAGGGACTGTACCATTCTTCGTTCAGGGGCCATACAAAACCTGGCAGAGGTTGTACTCTGCCCCAGCAGTTCCACTCCTAGGTAGAACCCAAAAGAATGAAAACAAGGACTCAAAACAGGTCGTTATATGCCAGTGTTCAAAGCAGCGTTAATCACAGTTGCCAAGGGACACCTGGGTGGCTCAGCAGTTGAGCATCTGCCTTCAGCCCAGGGCGTGATCCTAGAGTCCTGGGATCGAGTCCCACATTGGGCTCCCTGCATGGAGCCTGCTTCTCCCTCTGCCTGTGTCTCTGCCTCTCTCTGTGTGTCTCTCATGAATAAATAAAATAAAATCTAAAAAAAAAAATCACAGTAGCCAAAAGGGGCAAACCACTCACTGTCTCTCAACTGATCAGTGGATAAACACGATGTGGTCTATCCATGCAATGGAATATTATTTAGCCTTAAAAAGGAACGAAGTGTTCATCTATAATTACAACATAGACAAACCCTGAAAACATGGCAAGTAAACTAAGTCAGGATACAAAAGATCACATATGTTATGATTCCACGGGCATGAAAGTACCTAGGATGGGCAAATTCACTGAGATAGAAAGTAGATCAGAGGTTACTGGGAGTAGGGGAGAAATGAAAGAGTTATTGCTTAATGAGTATGGTGTTTCTTTTTGGGGTGACGGAAAATTTTGGAAACAGTGATGGTTGCACAACACTGGGAATATAATTAATGCCACTGAATTGTATGCTTTACTTTTTTTATTATTTATTTTATTTTAAATGGCTCCATGCCCAACGTGGGGCTTGAACTCATGACCCCAAAATCAAGAGCCAATGTTCCACCAACTGAGCCAGCTAGGCATCCCCTGAATTGTACACTTTAAAATGGTGAAAACAGAGATGGCTGGGTGGCTCAGTGGTTGGGCATCTGCCTTTGGCTCAGGGCATGACCCCGGAGCTCCAGGATCAGTAACCACGTCGGGCTCCCTGCATGGAGCCTGCTTCTCCCTCTGCCTGTGTCTCTGCCTCTCTCTGTGTGTCTCTCCTGAATAAATAAATAAAATCTTTTAAAAAAATAAAATAAAATGGTGAAAACAGCAAACTTTAAGCTACATACATTTTACCACAATAAAAGAAAAAAAATAGCCAGGGGGCTGGATTTGACCTGTGGGCTCTAATTTGCGTGACCCCATCAATCCTGCCAATGCCTTGCCCCTTCATCATCTCCTCTCCTTATCCAGCTTAGAATTCACAGCCCATCAATAGAATCCTTCCCTCACCTGTCCAACCCCGCCTGCCTTACTCCCCGCCCTCCCCACTAGCCAAACAGCCCTGAGAAAAGGAAATCCCACAACCTAGCGGACTGATCTTATTTTCAGATCCCACAGTGGAGGCTCCTATTGCTCTGGTCTGTTTTTCCTCCCACCTCCTCCTCTCTCCATCATCTCCCCACCTCCTCACTCCCCTAACGTGACTTCAGGTCCTGTTTCTCTGAGGAAAGGGGACCAACCTTGAACAGAAATCCTACATGCTCCACTTATCGCCTCTGCCTCCCTATCTGTACCTGTCACCTGCCATCCGGGCCCGTGTCAGGAGGAGTGTCCGCGCTCCGTCCGTGCGTGTACAACCCTCCGTGAGAATCATTCAACGATGTCTCTCCTGCATCCTCACTGTGTGCCCTCTGTTTTTTTTTTTTAAAGATTTTATTTATTTATTCATGAGAAAGAGAGAGAGAGAGGCAGAGACACAGTCAGAGGGAGAAGCAGGCTCCACGCAGGGAGCCCGATGTGGGACTCGATCCAGGGTCTCCAGGATCAGGCCCTGGGCTGGAGGCTAAACACTAAACAGCGCTAAACCCCTGAGCCCCCCGGGCTGCCCACTGTAGCCCCTCTGTGAGAATCGTTTCCAACAACAAGCTGTGTTATTCCCATTTAAAAAACAAAACAAAACACCCACCACCCTCCACCCCTTCCAGCTACCACTCTCTCCCTGCTGCTCTTTATAGTGAAACTCCCTGAAGTGGGTGTTTTGTTCAATCTCTCCTGCTTACCCTGCCTGACTCCATGAAAACTACTCCCGCATCACTGGTGACCTCCAAGGAGCTCTGTGCTCTCTCTTTTCACTGTATGTGACCCTCTTGTTCTTTTTTGCTTGGCATCTGGGACACCGTGGCAGCCAAAGTCCTTGGATTTTGCCTCTGTCTACACACCCTCCCAGCTCTTTGGACAACAGAATGCCAGGAGGGACTAAGAGCCGTATGGTGCGGTTCAGAATCCAGGTTCTACCTGAACACCAGCTTCAGGTATTAGAGTGACCACAGGCACGTTCCTTAACCTGACTCAGCTTCCTCATCTGTAACCGCTCAGCGGTTAAGTACCTGCCTTTAGCTCAGGGCGTGATCCTGGATGGAGCCTGCTTCTCCCTCTGCCTGTGTCTCTGCTTCTCTCTCTGTCTCTCTCATAAATAAATAAATAAATAAATAAATAAATAAATAAATAAATAAATAAATAAATAAATAAATCTTAAAAAAAAAGAGAGAGAAATGCAGACTATTGGGACACCTGGGTGGCTCAGTGGTTGAGCGTCTGCCTTTGGCTCAGGGCATGATCCCAAGGTCCTGGGATTGAGCCCCCCCATTGGGCTCCCTGAAGCAGGTCTGCTTTTCCCTCTCTCTATGTCTCTGCCTCTCTCTGTGTGTCTCCCATGAATAAATATATATATATATATATATATATATATATATAATATATATATATTTTTTTCCTTTAAGAAAGAAATTCAGACTATCATCTACGGGGCTGACAGACAGCTGGCTCACTTGCAGCTGAATTCTGGCTGCAGACCCTGGGTAGATACTGCTCTGGAAAGCAGGCATGGAGAGACGGACGGTTTCACCTGGGGAAAAGACCTGTGACTGCAGTGTGGCCTCAGGACATTGGCTCTCCTTCCTCTACATTATCAATTAGGAGCCCACCCAGCTCCCTTCCTCCTTGACTGCTCTCCTTCCCCCATCCCCATCCCCAAATTCCAGGTCGGAAGAGTGAATGAGAGTCATCAACAGGCTTTACTGATAAATGACTACCCAAAAATGTGGTCTATGCATCCAATAGGTATTACTTAGCCATAAAAAGCAATGAAGTACAGGGGTGCCTGGGTAGCTCAGTTGGTTAAGCCTCTGACACTTGGTTTCAGCTCAGGTCATGTGTGGGGGTTATGGATCCAAGCCCCACATTGGACTCCACTCTGGGAGTGGAGCCTGCTTAAGATTCTTCCTCCCTCTCCCTCTGCTTCTGCCTCTGCCCTTCCTCCTACCTCTCTCTCTCTACCCCCCCCTTAAAAATAAAAAATAAAAGTGTTAAAGAAATGAAGTACAAATACATGCCACCACATGGATGAACCTTGAAAACTTAATGCTCAGTGAGAGAAGACAATCACAAAAGGACACAGAGTGTAAGATTCCACTAAGTAAAATATACAGAATAGCAAATCCACAGAGACAGGAGGTAAATGAGTGGCTGCCAGGGGCTAGGAGCAGGAGAAAATGGGGAGTGCCTGCTAATGGGTATGGGTTTCTTTTGGGGGAAGATGAAATTTTCTAAAAATGACAATGATAATGGTTGCACAAATTGTGAATATACTAGAAACCACTGACTTGTACCCTGATTTTTTTTTAGTTGAAGTACACTTGACACAATGTTGTATTAGTTTCAAGTACACAACATAGTTATCCAACAACTCTATACATCACGCTGCTCTCACCACTGAATTGAACACTCTAAATGGGTGAGTGGTATGGTACGTGATACCAATAAAGTTAACAAAAGGAATGAAGTACAGATACATACCACAGGATGGATGAATCTTTTTTTATTATTATTATTTTTAAAGATTTTATTTATTCATGAGAGACAGAGAGAGAGGCAGAGACACAGGCAGAGGGAGAGACAGGCCCTCCAGGGACTCAATCCCAGGGCCCCAGGATCACGCCCCCGGCCAAAGGCAGGCCCTAAACCGCTGAGCCACCCAGGGATGCCCTGCATGGAGGGATCTGGATAATATTATTTTGAGTGAAAGAAGCCAGAAACAAAAGGCCACAGTACAGGATAGGCAAAGTCATGGAGTCAGAAAAGAGACAAGATTGCCAGGACATTAGAGGAAGTTAGGGGGAAATGGGGAGTGACTGCTGACAGGTCTGGAGTTGAGGGGGGGATTCTTCCTGAGGTGATGAAAATGTAAAATTGGGGTGCCTGGGTGGCAGGTCATGGTCCCACGTTCCTGGGATCAAGTCCCACCTCGGGCTCCTTGCTCAGTGGGAAGCCTGCTTCTGCCCCTCCCCCTGCTTGTGTGTGCTTGGTCTCTCTCAAATAAATAAATAAATAAATAAATAAATAAATAAATAAATAAATAAAATCTTTTTTAAAAAGTTCTAAAATTGGGCAGCCCCAGTGGTGCAGCGGTTTGGCGCCGCCTGCAGCCTGGAGTGATCCTGGAGACCTGGGATCCAGTCCCACGTCGGGCTCCCTGCATGGAGCCTGCTTCTCCCTCTGCCTGTGTCCCTGCCTCTCTCTCTCTGTCTGTCTGTCATAAATAAATAAATAAATAAATAAATAAATAAATAAATAAATCTTAAAAAAAAAATTCTAAAATTGATTGTGGTGATGGTTGCACAACTCTGAATATTCTAAAAACCACCCGATCGATTGTACACTTTAGAAGGGTGACTTATATGGTAGGGGGATTATGATTCTAATAAAGCTGTTACTTTAGAAACAGCTTTATAGACCCTAAAGATGCCCAGAAGTCCAGGGAGCTCCAGAAATCATGGGGATCCCCCAGAGCAATGGATTCCAGAGCTCCTTTCTTCAGCCCAAGTGGCATCTGGCTGCCCTGAGGATGCTGGCCGCACAGTCCTGCCCCGAGCAAACCCTGCCCTCAACCCAGACTGGCTGGAATCCTGGATGAAGGATGTGTATGCTGAGTAGATTTACCCTCCAGCCAGAAGGGAGGGCTGGCAGCAGGACGGCTGCTGCAGGTTTTGAGTCTACATAGCACCTGTGTGGAGAAGGGGATAGATTTTTCTCATTTTAAAATTTTTATCCGTCATGTGTCTGGAATTCTGCTCTTCTCTTTGGACAGATGATGTGCTCATTTCCCTTTTCTGTGTAACTCCCACAAATATTTTTTAAATATTTTATTTATTTATTCATGAGAGACACACAGAGAGAGGCAGAGACACAGGCAGAGGGAGAAGCAGACTCCCTGTGGGGTGCCCAATGTGGGACTCAATCCCAGGACCCCGGGATCATGACCCAAGCCAAAGGCAGATGCTCA